CCCTGCGCGCGAAAAAGAGAGAGAGAGAGAGTGAGAGAGACTCGAGTGCCAGGAGGGGCGGGGGCCCAGCGAGCGGGAAGGAGAGAGACGCGAGTGCGGGAAGGGGGTGGCCCTTCGACTCCCCCCTACTGCCGTGTGCCGGGGGGGGTGGGCGCGGTCGCTGAGCATTTGTTCGCTGGGTATCGTTCCTTCCACTATGTCGACCGCCTCACCATACTTGTCAAAATTTCATGCCAAGCGACGGCGGGTTTGCGAGCATCGCGCGTTGTGGTGTGCACGGCAGCCCGCTTAGCCAGGATTTGGAAGTGGAAAACAGATTATTCCCGGTACGGGTGAAATGCCCAGGGTTGACGAAGGCGTGGAGGCATGCAGACAGATGCAACCCCAGTGGCACCAAGCGCACACGACCCCGGGCCAATTCTCTCACCACGTGTCCATTCCAGCGGCACATTAACCCGCCGTTCCACGAGTTCTCCCAAGCCTTTTGGGCAGTACTTGCCTTTCCGGGCCCGATGCAAGTCGCCTGCGTGCTCAGGTCCGCCCGTGGTCTGCCGCTCGACTACCTGGGCCTTCAGACTCTGTTCGCGTTGAGCCTGCAAATGCAAAGACAGCCACGCACCTGTCTCTTCCCGCACGCAGACGCCGAGGGACTCGACGACATCATGGAGGCCATCCTGGGGCTCTGTCACCCCCACCGCCCGAGGGACCGGATTGAGAGGGACGAGTTTGGTACAGCGTGATGCCCAGTAGGTTAACGCTTCCGGGAGCTGCACGCAGCCTTGGAGAAATTCGGGGCAACAGTTAACGTGGTGTCCGCCGCGCACCATCATCGCAATGCGAAGGACGTATAGAATGCCCTCCCACCTGGTCCCTGTCCCATGATGCCAAGTCCCCCCTGAGAGCGAGCCTGGTGGTGATGGTCGACATCATCATTACAGTAAAGTCGGGCGTGTCCCTCCACAGGAGGAAAATTCAGAAACAGCCAAAAAATAGTCAGGGAACGATTTTTGTAGTACGTTTGACAATGTTAAATTATTGAATCGCTTCGCTCATTCCGCCGGCCCGTGATATGGCATCGCTGGTTTTTGTCAGTGTGTTCGTTGCCCATGTTGCGCTCTTGGGGGCGGGTGTCGTTCGGACGCGTTGCGTGGGGAGTTTTGATGGTGAAGCAGTTCCCTGGGGGTCGTCTCTCGATGGGGCGAAATAGAGTCGTCGTCAAGATGCTTCTTTGGGGGGCCTCTTGGGGTCTGTTGAGAGGCCGTTCGGGGGCGCCTGGGAGACATGTTTGAAGCCTTCTGGGGCTTCTTTTGGGCCTCCTGGGAGTCTCCTGGGGCCTCTTGGCGACATCTTGGGGCCTCTTGGAGGCCTCTTGGGGCCTCTTTGGGACCTCCTGGGCGCCTTCTGGGACGGAGGGCTCCATTTTTGAGTTCTCGGTATCCCTCCTGAGTCCCTCTTGGGCCCGTCTTGGGGCCTCTTGGTCCGTCTTGGGCGGCACTTGGGCCGTCTTGAGGGCTCTCTTGGGTCGTTTCGGCGCCGTCTTGGGAGCTTCGTGGGCCGTCTTGGAGCGGTCTTGGGGGCCTCTTGGGCCGTCTTGGAGCGTCCGGAAGCCGAAAAAGCCAGAACACAAAAAACAACCAATGAAAATCAACGATTTTGGCCTCTTGGGGCTCTCTTCGGAGGCCTCTTGGAAGGCTCTTGGGGCGTCTTGGAGGCCTCTTGGGCTGTCTTGGGGGCCTTTTGGGCCGTCTTGGGGTCATCTTCGGCGTCTTCGAGCGCTCTTTGGGCGTCTCGGGGGCCTCTTGGGCAGTCTTGGGGGCCTCTTGGGGCACTCTGAGCGCGCTCTGGGGAGCCTGAGAGGCCGCACCCAGAAGGAAAACCATCTCTGAGTAGACTTGGTCGGGCGGCGGTCGGGCGGCGGTCGGGCGGCGACCGGGCGGCGACCGGGCGTTGGTCGGGGTACTTTTCGCCGGGGGACCCCCAGGGGCCGCCCCGCGCGCGCGAACTAGAAATACTGTTAATACTGTTAACCAGTTACCGGAGATCTTAGCACGCCCTGGCCCGTTGGGCCGGCGAATTGGTTGAGTATGTTTTACCTTTCGTCCAGCATCCGCCTGTATGGGGGACATGCCCGACCTAGCCTTCGCCCGCTCCGGCTCTGCCCTGCGCGCCCTCGCCCGGGACGTCGTGGGTTCAGACCCGGGACTGCGCCAGCCCAGGGCCGGCGAGGTGATCTTGGCCCACATCGGTGGGGAAAGGTCGTGCGCCGCCACGGACCTGGTATCAAGCAGTGGCGAAGCGTCTTGGGCTGCCTATAGGCCCATCGAAGAAGGTTCTACCAGCCTGTTGTGGTTTGCTCGAAAGGTTCTTAGAGCACTTCGGGCGGAGACGAGCTTGTTTGACGCATCGGGTTTCTGTTCTAAGAGCATGTTTAAGTTGTTTGAACATTCTTGGGTTCTGAGAACATGTCGAGGTAGGGCCTATAGGATTGCCGGGACGTCGGTCCTTGCTCAATTTTGGTCCCACCGCCGCCATGACCACCACCAGGCGTCATGCTACGTGCTGACGCCCCCCTGGATCGATGAGAGGGACACGCGCTTCCGCCCGGAGCAGGCCCTGGCTCAGTTCCACTGCCAAGGATATCTGCGAGGCCCGTTCCGCATAAAAGGCGGCGCCTACCGTAACGCCCAGGTAGAGCTCATGATCGCCCAGAACTCGCAGACAGAATACTTCCTGGGAGTCGACACTTCGTGGCACTGTGCCAGGTGCTGGCGGCTTGAAACCGCTGCCTCCCAGACCCCCATTCCTGGTGACCTGGAGACACAGAAGTGGACTGGCGAGATGGAGGACGACCCGATTGCCAACCTTCCTCGCCCAATCCTTACCTGCAGGCTGAGCAAGTTGAGGGCGGACGCTCTCTTGGAGAACCTTCTCCTCGTGCCGACAGGACACGGCGACTCAGTACAATTACACCAGACGCTGCAAAACGCCAACACGCGAGACGAGCGCCGGGGCACCACCTTTGCCACCAAGCAGAGCATCCTGTTCAAGTGCGACGGTCGTCATGCCTCCAAGCCTGGGATCTCCTGGTCTCCTGGTACCGCAGCTCCTGGCATGCCCGCCCAAGGCCAACGTAGCAGGTCTGAGGGACTGTGAGGCCCTCAGATCCTTTTCCCGTTCTGGAGCCTGCGACGCCGCACCCTCAGACTGCGAAGACATCCTCGTCGGACGGAGCTCGTGTGCCCGAAGCAGGGCTCCCCCCGGCAAGCCTCGTCCCGATCGCGTCGGCGACCATCCCCGAAGCAAAGACGGCCAAGCTGCGGCCACGGAGCCAGCATCTGATCATTCTGGATCAGCATGCTGATCCAGAATGATCAGCATGCTGATCCACAGTGGTGCGGACGCACAGAACCGGGCAGGTTATTTTCGGCGGCCAGGAGCTCTGAGTGGTGGTCCTCTTGTGAGTCCGCCTACGTATCCCATTTTGGCTCCACGCCATGCCCTGATAGGGCACGGGCGGGCTCCCCGGAGGAGCGCGCGCGAGTCTGGCGTTCGCTTGGCTTCGCTCCACAGAACGGGGCAGCCGCAGCACTGCAGCGGGCGACTGCCAAACGTTGGCAGGCAAGGGGTGGACCATCCGCACCTGCAGGGTGGCAAGCCACGGGGCGTCTGCGACAAGGCCCCGGGCCCCTGGACCCGGCTGGGGCCAAGGCGCGCGCTGTCTTCCTCTAGAGTCCGACGATCGCCCCGCCAAGGGAGCCAGGCTGGGAGCTGGGAGCTGCGGCCCCTGCACCAGGAGAGGAAAGGAGAGGAAGATCTGGGCTGGCCTGGAGCCCCGCGCTCCCGCCCTGCCCGCTGTCCCGAGCTACCCAGCCGCCTGGTGAACAAGTCTGCGGACGAACTGACTCACCTGGAGCTGATCAGGGCTACCTGGTATTTCCTGCCCCTCGGGCTCGAGATGGGTCAGCACTGAAACGACAAAGAGTTGTGCGACCAGCACCCGCAGGCCAAGCACACCTGCAAGGTGGATACCCAGGACTTGGGCCCCCTATGCGATTTCGCTGCGATCTTACAGAGCACGGGGCGTTCAGAACCTGTCCCGCCCTCAGCGAGGCGCGCTTGGAATTCTGACAAGGGCGTCCTTGGCCATGTCTTGGGCTGGCTCATTCGGGCCGCCTTGGGGCCCTGTTTGGAGCCTTGACTCGGAGCCCTCGTGGGGGCCTCACTGGCTGTCTTGGGCCGCCGGGAACCCACACCGGCGAGAACTTCAAAACCTTTCAAGCACAGAAGGAAAATCAATAGTTCTGGCCTCCTCGGGATCTCCTGGAGAGCCTCTTCGAGCCCTCTTGGGCCGTCTTGGGGGCCTCTTGGGCCGTCTTGGGGTTGTCTTGAGAGCCTCTTGAGCCGTATTGTTCCATCTTGAGGCGTTTTTGTGTCGTATTGGCTGTCTTGGAAGCCTTCTTGGAGGCCATCATGGCCGTCTGAAGGCCGAAAAGAGCGCTGGGGAGCAATTTCAGGTGAGGCGATCTGGGAGGGGTGCGTGCGACGCAGGGGGGGAGGGGGGGGGGTCGGCCCTAGAGAACACAGAAGAACCTCCCAGAACACGGAAGAACCTCCCAGGCAACACGCCCATTCCGTGCAGGCACTGTGTCGGATGTACAGGTTTTGGTTTTCAACACTTGTCGCGCGAAGAACCGGCCGGGAAATGATATTCTATACAAGAGATATCGTGGCGTGTCTGCAGAGCCCCATGGGACAGGGCCCAGATGCCTTAGTGCACAGTCGAAACCGATGGTAAGTATGGGCAAGCTTCCCAAGGGTACCCCTAACATCCTTGCCTCTCTGGTCCTTCCTGAACCTCTCTCCGATGGCCCGCCGCGCTCGAACAAACTCCAACACGAGCGTCCAAGGCACCTGCATCCTCATCGCGCATCCTGACTATCAGTTTCGAATGTACTGTATATGCGCGCGGCTCCCCCTCGTGGACGCCCCCGAGCGCCGAGGTCGTGGTCGAGCACGCGCCGCGCGCGGCGGTCGCGAGAGAGGCCCCGGTGAGCTCAGCGGCCGCGGTCGAGAGACCGCGCCCCCTCGCCAGAGAGGCGCGGGCTCCTGGGGGTGCGCTTTACCTCCCTCCCTCCTCCTCTTACTCGTCCCTTCTCCTCCTTCTCTTGCTCCCCCTCCTCCTCCTGATCCTCTTCCTCCTCCTGCTCCTCCTCTTTCTTGCGTCTCCTCCCCTGACTCCTCCTGCACCTCCCCTTTCTTCTCCTCCTCCTCCTCCTCCTCCTCCTCCTCCTCCTCCTCCTCCTCCAGTGAGGCGCGGGCCCTGCGGGGGAAGTCTTCGGCGCCGCCGTGGTCGCCGCCGTGCTCTGAGGGGCGCCGTCAGGGTTCGAGCACCTCGAACTTCGAGGTTCGACTTTCGAGGTTGTTGGCCGTTTTCATCGGTGATCGGCGGCTTTCGAGCCTGGGGGCGGTCTCCGTCAGTTGCGCCTCGTCGAGGGCGCTCCTGGGTGCCAGAAGCTTCCCTTTTCCTCCAGAGAGCCGAGCTATGACCCGAAAGCCAGACGACGAAAATCGCTGGGGTGGACGAGCTCAGAGGGGATGCATCGACCCCTAAACGCCCATTCATCGCCAGCAGGGGCTCGATAGCCCAGCCCGCCCAGGAACGTGCGGATCAGCCATCGGGGACCTATAGCCGACCCATCGGCGATGTATCGCCGATTCCAGCTCGAAATGTTCCCCTCCTGCCCCCGAGCTGCCCCCCCAAACGTTGCCCCTCATGGTCGTGGTGGTCGTGGTCGTGGTCGTAGACGTAGTTGTGGTCGTGGCCGTGGTCGCGGCCGTGGTCGTGGTGGACGTGGTTGTGGTGGTGGTGGTGGTCGTCGTCATCGTCGAGGATCGTTTTGCCTCCAGGGGCCCTCTCATTGCCACGGCTGGAGTCGCCTCGGGCTTTGGCCAGAGCGCACCCTGGAATAAAACCTGGGACTTCTTTTGTCTGGGTTTTTAGACCCAGACCTGCAATGTCTTGGCGCATCAAGACGGGGCCATTCCGTAATTTTCTACATGTTCGTCCTCCATCCCGCCCTCCCTCCCTCCCTTCCTCCCAGGTTCTCCTTCTCCTCCTCCTCCTCGTCCTCTTCCTCCCCTGACATCATTTTTGATGTGGAACAAGTCACGACGAAATCGTTTGGCTTGTTTTCGGGGTCAGGATCAGCAACCGGTCCCGGGGAAGGGATCTGGACTTCTTGGGAGCAATGTTGCGAGATAACTCACGACGCCAGATGTCTTGGTACACAGCCGCGTGGACATGATTAGCGAAGTGCACAATAATGACGAGTGCCGCAAAGCATCTGCTTGATATGCCTCTCACAAGCGTGGCACGGAGTGATCTGCGCCTCTCAATGTTGACAACGTCTGGGGGTTCGCGGTTGGACGAGACGCCCTGGATGCATGTTCTGGATTTTTTGGGGAATCTCCCGCTTCTGTGAAAGAGTTTGTGGGGTTTCTTCGTGCCACGCGATTCCATGCGGCTTCCGTGCTCCTTGCGTTCCATGAACCACGGGCGTTGCACTGGCATGCCTGGAGACCAGTTCGTATGCCACTGCATGGTGCTGATCGCGAGCCCCCATGGCACGTGTCGTTCGTTCGTTTCAGCTTCTGTCGCAAGCTCCACTTCGCGCGGGGGGGGGGGGGGGCCCTCCCCTGCGTCCGCCAGCAGGCTTGGGCAAACAGTGTGGCCGTGGCCGAGCAGGTGTCGTGCTCGAGCGCGCACGGCGCCCCGGCCGGGCTGGGGGGGCAGCATCCCTCACCAAGATGCGGCCCCGAGGCGGGGCCTGCGGAGGCTCGGTGTTGGTGGGCGCGTTCTGCCTCCTTCGGGAGCCGCCGTGCAGGAAGGGGATCCTGAGGGAAACGGGCCCTGTTTTTTTGTTCCGGTGTTTGGGTTCTTGGGGCCCTCCCCAGGCTCGGGGACAATCGGCAAACTACTCAGGATGACCTTCTTTCCTCATGCCAAGGGGCGGTGGAGGAAGGCGGGGACAGAACCCACGAGCTCTTCCTTCAAGACGCCCCAAACCCTGCAGTTTTCGTAGAAGTTCCCCGAAGCAGCCTGACCCACCCCCCCCTCCTCCTTCGCCTGAGCAGGCGGAGGGATTTTTGAGATGCCGCCCAGGATCACCCGCCCCTCATCACGAACAGAGTGCACCGTGGAATCTCGACCAGCGTGCTGGACCCCGCCTCCTTGCTGCATCTGTCTGGCCGGATCGACCCGTGAGGACCCCGCGGCCCAATCGCCCATGGCGAGAAACACTGCGACGCCAGGATCTCGGGGTGCCGGGTTCGCTCCGGCATCCCCGCCGGGAGCGCGCTCGGGGAGAGGCCCTGGCGGGGGTGGGTCGGCTTCGGACCTGTGGCAGGCACGCGTCGCCACGGATCCGAAGGGGAAGGGAGAGGGAGAGGGAGAAGGGAGAAGGGAAGGGAGAGAGGGAGAAGGGGAGGAAGGAGGGGGCAGGGGGAAAGGAGGGGAGGGGAGGGGAGGGGAGAGGGAGAAGGGAAGGGGAGGAAGGAGGGGGGTATGGGGGCGGGGGGAACGAAGGGGAGGGGAGGGGAGAAGGATCAGGGAAGGGGAGGAAGGAGGGGGGGGAAGGGCGACGCGTTGCCACGGATCCGCTCCGGCATCCGGGTCGGAACGCGCTCCGGGAGAGGTCTCGGACGTGGGAGCCAGCTGGGGGGGCTGAGGTGGGGCATCATCGTTGCCAGCTGCTAGAGAAGAGGTGGAGAGGCACCATGCAGCACCATGCAGGTTTCGTTTATGGTTCCCTCTGGGCTGCCTTCTCCAGATGGCACTGAATGCCGAGTTTGCCCCTTTTCCCCTCCTGACCGGCTTTGTTGGTGCCCATTTAGAGCAGACCACCCCACCCGCCCCCAGCCCGGAAGTCGACACCTGCACCAAGGTTTCGTGGCTTAAACACCCACGTTTCTGCACGACTGGAGTTGGATTTCTCTGCTGTTGAGCTTCGGGCACCCTGGGCATGGTATCTGGACATGCGGACGCATTTAGCACTCTTCTTCTTCCTGCGCTTCCTCCTTCCGTCCTCCTCCTCGTTCTTCGCTTCCCATCAATTGGGAAGCTGACAGTTTTCATCATCGCGGGCCTCCTTTTAGGAACAAACGCAAGTTCTTGGTGCCGATGCAGATTGTTTGACCTGCAGTCGAAATCCATAGTATGGCGACTTGCCTCTTCGTGGTCCATCCTCCACCACTCGATGGCCAGCCCCACTCGAGAAGCTTCGCCGTGGGCGTCCAATGGGGCTTGCATCCTTACTGCGCATCCTCCGGCAGTGGAGGCCGTTCACGGGTGAAGCTGTTGCCTTGGGCACAGGATGTAGAGCCCACGCAGTCGGGAGAAGAGGAGGCACGGGACGGCGATGATGATGGTGATGATGATGATGATGTTGATGATGTTGATTATGATGATGTTGATGACGACGATGATGATGGCAATGATGATGCAGTTGTTGTTGACGATGGCAATGTTGATGTTGATGGTGATGTTGATGACGATGATGATTATGATGATAAGTGTGATGTTGTTGATGGTGGTGGTGATGATAGTGTTGATGTAGTGATGATGATCATGCGCATGATCATGAACCGGATATGATGATGCTGATGCTGATGATACTGTTTATGATGATGCTGGTGATGACGTTGCTCATGCTGATGCTGATGACTATGCTGCTGATGCTGATTCTGATGCTGATATGGTGAGGCTACTGATCATGGCGATGCTGATTACCATGCTGATGCTAATGCTGATGCTGCTGCTGCTAGTGCTGATGCTGATGCTGATGCTGCTGATAAGGTTGACGATGCTGCTGATGACGATGATGATGATGACGATAACGATGACGGTGACGATTATCATGCTGATGGTTGTGGTTGTGATGATGATGTTGTTGCTGCTGATGATGATGACGACCATGATGCTGATGTAGATGATGGTAATGCTGGTGATGACGATGGTGATGATGACAATTTCGTGATCATGTTGGTGATGATGATGCTGATGATGACGGTGACGATGTTGATGATGATATTGTTGATGATGATACCGTTGATGCTGATGAGGATGGTGATGACGACGATGATGACGACGATGCTGATGATGGCGATGCTGATGATGATGATGATGATTATGATGGTGATGCTGATGGTGATGCTGATGCTGATGCTGCTGATAAGGTTGGCGACGCTGCTGATGACGATGATGATGATGATGAAGATAGCGATGACGATGACGATTATCATGCTAATGGTGGTGGTTGTGATGATGATGATGCTGCTGATGATGATGACGACCATGATGCTGATGTAGATGATGGTAATGTTGGTGATGACGATGGTGATGACGACAGTTATGTGATCATGCTGGTGATGATGATGATGCTGATGACGGTGACGATGTTGTTGATGATGATGATGTTGATGATGATGATACTGTTGATGCTGATGAGGATGGTGACGACGATGATGACGACGATGCCGGTGATGATGATGATGATGATGATGATGGCGATGATGATGATGATGATGATGATGATGATGATGATGATGATGATGATGATCATCATCATCATCATCATGGCGATGATGAAGATGCTGGTGCTGATGCTGATGATGATGATGATCATGGTGATGGTGATGGTGATGCTGATGGTGATGCTGATGACGGTGATGATGCTGATGCTTGTGATGATGTTGTTGATGATGAGGATACGGTTGCTGCTGATGCTGACGGTGGTGGTTGTGAATATGATGATGTTGCTGATAATGATGAGGATCATGATGATGATGATGATGATGATGATGATGATGATGATGATGGTGATGGTGATGGTGATGATGATGATGGTGATGTCGAAGTAGGGTGGAAAGAGATGATGAGGAGGATGCGGAGGATGATGCGCTGTCATGCCTCCTCCGTCTTTTTCCTGCTGAATTCTCCTCTCTCGTCTCTCACCGTCCCCCTCCCCCAGGTGCCGCCGACGACTGAGTGCGTTTAGCCGCGGTCCGGTTTCGATCCTTTGGGTCTGTTTTCGTAGCTGGGACCGCGCGCGCACTCCGCCGTAGAGCGCGCCATCGCCGTGTTCTTGATTGTGGTGGCGGCGCAAAATGTGCTAGAGCGAGGAGGAAGAAAGGGAGGAGGAACAAGAGGAGGAGCAGGAGGAGGCGGGGGGGGAAGGAGGAGGAGGAGGAGGATTCGGGGGAAGGAGGAGGAGGAGGAGGATTCGGGGGGAGGAAGAAGGAACAAGGAGCAGGAGGAGGATGAAGGTGGATGAGGGCACAGTCAGGTGAAAGAGAGTCGGGAAGAGTTGGATGAAGATGAGGGTGAAGACGGATCATGACGATGGTGGAGAAGGAGGAGGGATGAGCACGAGGAGCGTTGGAGCAGGATGGTGAAGATGATGGGTATGAGCGTGATGATCCTGATGAGGATACGGCTGAGGATGCCGATGCTGACGCCTATGACGATGAAGATGATGGTGATGACGATCATGGTGATGATGACAACGACGATGACGAGGAGGGGGAGGAGGAGGAGGTGGAGGAGGAAGAGGAGGAAAAGGAGGAGGAGGAGGATTGTCTCGGCTGCCGTCTAAGGCACGGTTAAAATTTTACTGTTTCGTGCCCTAGCATGGTGACAAACTATTAGCTGCCCTCTCTGATCCTCCTCCCAAGGGAGGGTCGCCCCACGACTGTGAAGCACGGGTATCGCCAGTCGCTTTTTCTCGTACCTTCTCAGAGTCGTGTCGTCCCGCGACTGAAGCAAGCCCACCCCCCTCAGACCTTAAGCCCACACAGTCTCAGTCTCGGTGGGATGCATGCAAATAACCCCTCGGCGAAAGACACCCCCACGACTGTGCGGCACCTTATAACTGCCCCTCAAAATGCATTGATTGAATACAAAACATGCCCAAAGGGCTGCCGCACGACTGTGAAGCCCACTAAACCACCGGCCCCAGCCAGGACCGCCCCGTGACCGCGAATCCCACCTTAAGGGGCCGCGCCACAAATGATAACGCTGCAAGTCAACCCTCACTTACCCCTGGCTTGCCAGGCCCCTTATAACTGCTCCTCCCCACGGCCACGAAGTGGTCCTGTCTATTCCTCACTGGCAGATTCATAGGAGAAGTGTTCCGCGAAGCACTACTGCAATGCAGGGTGATTGCTGCGCCTCTGTGGTGACCACCCAGGTGGGACCTGTGGCGCTCCAGCTTTACGGGTGGTCAGCCGTAACATATTCTGAGTTGGTTGGGTCATTGATTGAGCAGCCACCTCGTGCTGGGGGCACCCTTTTACACACGAGCGAACCTCATCAACCGGAGTTGTTGGTCCACCCGCATGCTGGGTCCCTCTAAAGGGGACCTCAGATCGTACCAGTATGCACGGCGTTCCCCAATGCTTGGTCTCCCTCAAAGGGACCCAAGATCATGTTCGTATGCGCGTCGCTCCCGCGCGCGCGACGCTCTCGCACTCGCTCCTCTCATCCTCTCCTCTCCTCTCTACTCCGTCCTCCTCCTCCTCCTTCTCCACCTTCTCCTCGGATCCTGCGTGCTTGGTCCCAGGTATTGGGACCGACGATCTCACCCGTATGAGAGACGTTCTCGCATATTGGGTCCCACTTAATGGGACCTAAGTTCGTGCCCGCATACACGACGTTCCCGCATGCTGGGCCCACTTGATGGGACCTCAGATCGCGCCCATAGGCACGACGTTCCCGCATGCTGGGTCCCATTCCATGAGACCTACGATCGTGCCCGTGTGCACGACGTTCCCGCATGTTGGGCCCCACATAAGGTGACCTAAGATCGTGACCGTACGCACGTCGTTCCCGCATGCTGCGTCCCACTTACGAGGACCTGAGATCGTGCCCGCATGCGCGACGTTCCCGCATGCTGGGTTCCACTTCCCGGGACCTAAGATCGTGCCCGTATGCACGACGTTCCTGCATGTTGGGTCCCACTTGATAGGACCCAATACTGTGCCCGTGTGCAAAAAGTTCCCGCATGGTGGGCCCCACTTTATATGGAACCTAAGACCGAGCCCTCATGCCCGACCTTCCCGCATGCTGGGTCCCACAAGGCAACCGAAGATCGTGCCCGTATGGAAGCCGTTCCCGCATGCTGGGCCCCACTTAAAGGGGTCGTGAGAGCGCACCCGTATGCAAGGCGTTCCCGCATGGTGGGTCCCATTTAAGGCAATCGTGCCCGTATGCAGGACGTTCCCCCATGCTGGGTCCCACTTCAGAGGACCTAAGACCGTGGCTGTACGCACAACGTTCTCGGTTGCTGGGCCACTTGAGGGGGCCGAAGATCGTGCCCGCATACAAGATCCCGCATGGGACCTGAGACCGTGCCCGTACGCACGACATTCCCGCATGGTGGGTTCCGTCTTATGGGGCCCAATACCGTGCCAGTACGCACGACGTTCCCGCATGCTTGTTCCCACTTAGTAATTCCTGAGATCGTGCCCGTATGCACGCCGCTCCGGGGCGACACCCAGGTGGAGATGGAGGAGGAGGACCGTCATGTCAGGGGATGAGGAGAAGACGGAAGAGGAGGCGGAGGGGAGGACGGAGACCCTCCCGAGGGCCAAGTTCCTGTAGGAATGTGCAGGGCATGGATCATTAAACTTGGGACACAAGGGTACCCGTGATTTGTCAGGGTCGACCTGCGGGTCTCCCAGTCTTATATTGTGCCCATCGTACTTCAGGACCACATCCCAGAAACCATTTCGAACACTCATTTTTTTGGGCGGTCAATGCTAAAGTAGGTTGGAGCATCGTAGTCCCATTCCCCCCCCATTTCGTCCGCCCCGAAATGGTGGACGCCACCGCGGAGGCAGCGATGGCGAACAGGGGCCACAGGCTGAGCTGCGCAGCACGTCCATCGGGCCTGAGTCCGAGTCCAGCCCCGTCGCCAGGAGCAGGTCCTTCTCAATCTCCTGCGGGTGACAGGCCGCCGCGCCCGCCGCGGGGGGCGCGGATTGCAGCAGCCGCAGCGCGGTGCCCGCGAGCCGGCAGTAACAGACGGGCACTCGCAGCCGAGCCATGCCGGCCTGCACTTTGCCAAGCGCCCCGTGGTCGAGCGCGCCGTCCGCGGCGAGGTCCCCTTCGGCGGCCGCCGCCGCCGCCCGTGCCGAGGGGCGGGCCGCCGCCGACGCCCCCGGGGTGCCGCAGTGAGTGGTGCCGCCGCGGCCGCCGGGGCAGCCTTCGAGCTCTCGCGCGAGGGCGGCGGCGTCCAGGCCGCCGGCCGCGGCGGGGCCTCCCGCGGCCAACGCGGTGGTCAGGAGGCGCACGGCCACAGCCCCGAGGCGCGGCGGGGCCATGCGAGCGGCGGCACCGCGCCGGCAGGCGGCGGCGGCGCGAGGCCCTTGAGCCAAAATGGCTACGGAGGAGGAGGAGGAGGAGGAGGAGGAGGAGACGGTGGCAGAGGCGGATGGGCAAAGGTTGAATGAGGATGGGGGAAGGTGGAGGAGGCTTCGGGCTGGAGGAGCAGCAGCTGCGGCAGCTCTACACGCGGCGCGCACGGAAGGACGATGGTCAGCCGTGTGAGTGCCGTTATTGCGATCTGCGTCGGTGCGCGCCACGGTGCGGATGGGCGGCCCTACGCTGCGTGAATACAATGAGGACGAAGAGGGGTGTTCCAAGGACGACGTCCGCGCCGCACGATTCATCGAAGATGGTGAGGGTGCGGCTCGCCGAATAGGATTGGACGTTCACTGCAGACGTGTAGCGGACATTGTCCGCATGCCCCCGGTTTTTTATCTTTCGTCGACCATGGTATGGGTGCGACTCGCAGAAGAGGACGGGATGGGGGGGCAGTAAGCCTGGCGCAGTGGGAATGCATAATAAGGGGGCAATGGGGGTAATTTAATATCAGTAGCTATGTGTTCTGACTTCTTCGGTTGGGGTTAGCGCTTAAGATTAGGATTACGGTTTGAGGCTTGAGGATGCTAGGGGTCAGGGTTAGTGATTTGGGTGCGGCTTCAGGTTAGGGGGTTAGCGTGTTCGCGATTAGGGTTAGGCTTATGATTAGGCTTAGTTCCCGGGGATGCATTGTTAGGGTTGGGGTGGTAAGTTTTGGGTGTTGTCGTTAGGTGTAATGTTTAGGGTTCGTCTGTTATGATTCGGGTGCCAGGCGCACTGGGGGAGGTGCTCGGTTTCCGTGGGATTGGTTGCGGGTATTCAGGTTGAGGGTCAGGGATCCGTGTGGGGTAGTGCTCAGGGTCAGTGTCAGGGTGTTTCGGTTCAGGGCAGTAAGGTGTTCTGGTGTTACGATGCTACCACCCCCTGGATTAAAAAGTTGAGATCGGAGCTACACCGAAAGAACCGCATCCAGGTTTTCGTCCGTCGTTCGGCTTTCGAGCCGCGACTTTCGATCGGGACTGGATCCTGGGAAGTCGATGGTCGCTGTTCGACCGGACCTCTATCCTCGACCCTCGAAGTATCTGGGGCCCTCGATCCTCGATCCTCGAGCCTCGATCGAACCTCGATCATGGATGTTCGATCGGCCAGGCATTCTGGAGCCTGGAGTTTCGATCAAGCCTGGAACATCGGTTCTCGATCGTCGCTCTTCGATCGGCCATCCAGCGTCGAACTTCGACGGATCGTGGCCGCTCGATCCTGGCTCCTCGATGTCCGAACGGCCCTGGATCCTCGACCCTCGATCTCCGACCCTCAATCGCTAGGTGGTTGTCGAACTTTGATCGGCCGTGGAACCCAAAGCCTCGTTTCCGATCGATATGGGTTCGCTCTTCCACAGTCGGTCCTGGGTCATCGATCGTGTATCCTCGATCATCGATCCTGGATCGTCGATTCTGGACCGTACATCCTGGGTCAACCGCGTCGCCCCAAAATGACCCTGGGATCGAACCTCCCACAGGGGGGCCTGCGACCCGACGCGACCTCAAGATGGCCTCAAGATGACTCCAAGACAAACCTGTGAACCGAACGATGCAACGGCCATCCCTGCGGACATCCGCCCAGGCGCA